CTCTGGGCTGAGGCTATCTGCTGCTGTAATGTAGGCTGGACGTGTAGCACAGCTAGAGTCTTACGACTAAGGGCATCGGCTACCACATTCGCCTTACCTGGGTGGTAAGCGATGTGACAGTCATAGTCCTTAATCAACTCTAACCACCTCCTCTGTCGGAGATTCAGATCCTTCTGCGTCAACAGGTACTGAAGACTCTTATGGTCGGTGAAGATACGCGTCGTCTCACCGTAGAGATAATGCCTCCAGATCTTCAAAGCAAGTACAATAGCTGCTAACTCAAGGTCGTGCATCGGGTAATTACACTCATGTGGCTTCAACTGTCGGGACGCATAAGCAACGACCTTGCCCTCCTGCATGAGAACACACCCCAAGCCGTTATGGGACGCGTCGCTGAAAACCGTATACTCCACTCCTGGAGTGGGCTGGACTAGAACGGGTGCCTGGGTCAGACACTTCTTCAGTCGCTCGAAACTCTGCTGACAAGTGTCAGTCCAAATGAACTTGACGTCCTTCCTCATCAGTTTGTGTAGTGGCGATGCTATAATGGAGAAGTCCTTCACGAACCGTCGATAGTAACCCGTCAGTCCGAGAAAACTCCTCACCTCACGTGCATTCCGCGGAGTCTTCCACTCCGTGATCGCTGCTATCTTACACGGGTCTACCTTCACACCTTCGGCCGAGATGACATGGCCGAGGAAGGTAACCTCGTGCAACCAGAACTCACATTTGGACAGCTTGGCATAAAGCTGCTATTCCCGAAGAATGCTCAGAACGACACGCAGATGCTCGGCATGCTCCTCCTGTGTCTTGGAGTACACCAGGATGTCATCGATGAAGACCACAACAAACTGATCAAGATGCTTCCGGAACACACTGTTCATCAGTTCCATGAACACTGCTGGTGCATTAGTCAAACCAAAGGGCATGACTGTGAACTCGTAATGACCGTATCTCGTGCGGAAAGCAGTCTTAGGAACGTCCTCCTTCTTAACGGGAATCTGATGGTACCCTGATCGGAGATCGATCTTAGAGAAGACTGTGGCTCCTCTCAACTGGTCAAACAAATCGTCGATGCGGGGTAACGGATAGCGATTCTTGATGGTAACTTTGTTTAACTGACGGTAATCAATGCACAACCGCATCGATCCGTCCTTCTTGCGGACGAACAGAACCGGTGCTCCCCAAGGAGACACACTAGGCCGGATGAAGCCCTTATCCAGCAACTCCTGCAGTTGAGCCTTCAGCTCCTTCATCTCTGCAGGCGCCATGCGATAAGGTGTGATCGAGATTGGTCCTGTTCCTGGAACAAGATCAATGGAAAACTCTACCTCCCTAGGGGGTGGTAGACCAGGTAAGTCATCCGGAAACACATCAGGAAAGTCACACACCGTAGGGATGTCCCCCCTACCAGGCGCCTCCTGACAAGTGTCACGCACTGTGCACAAGAATGCTTCACACTTCTTGCGAATGAGTCGACGATCATGAATGTAGGAAATGAATTCTGGAGCTTTCGGAAGAAGCTCACCATGGATCAGTACGTCACTACCGTCTTCGGCTCTCAGTCGAACAATATGAACTCCACAGTCAACAACGGCTTGGTTGGCGGTGAGCCAATCCATGCCCAGAATAACGTCAAACTCACGATGTGGAAGCTCAATGAGACTCGCAGGGAAAATCTTTCCCTGGACCACTAATGGGCAATCATTGTACACATGGGTGAGTCGTAGGCTGTGTCCCAATGGGTTGGACACTAATACCGGATTGTCTAAATTTTCCCTCGGAATGTTAGGCATAACAGGCATAGGCATACAAACATATGATAGAGTGGAACCCGGATCAATCAAAGCTGTAATAGATGTATCGAATAAGGTGAACATACCCATGATGACGTCATGGGCGGGCTGCTCGGTACGCCCTCGCATTGCGTAAGTACGGCCCTTCCCCGCCTGAGCGCCAGATGCCTGCCGCTTGGGCTGGCTAGATGCTGCCGCCGACTTCTGACTCTGGGCGGGCTGCGCTGCTGGGGCCGGAGCGGCCGATGCGGTCGAGAATGCCTCACCCGGATTCTTCGGACAACCTTTTCGGAAATGCCCGGCCTGGCCACACCCAAGGCACAGGCCAAGAGTGTACCAACACTCTCCTGGGTGCCTGCGCCCACAAAGGTCGCAAATCGGATTGCGAAACCCATCCCCGCTCTTGCCCTTCTTCTGTACGGACGCAGATGACTGAGCTGGGGCTGACTTCACCTTCTTACTCTGGTGAGAGTTGCTCGGCGCTGTAAAGGACCTCTTGCTGCTGGTCCCCGCCTTCTGGGGTGGAGGAGGACGAGATGGTGCCGATGACACTCCTAGTGTCTGCTCATACTCAGCCTTCTTGATGAGGGCCGCGTTCAAATCCAACGCATTCTTGTACAACGCATTGATGTCACTCCGGGGAGCAATGATCAGATGGGTCGAAAGGTCGGGACATAAACCCTCCACGAAGCGTTTGCATCGCTTCTCCACGGTCGGTACGAGGTCTAGCCCAAACCCCGCGAGCTCGTCAAACTTCTGACGATACTCAGGCAGTGTGAGTTCACCCTGGGTGAACTTCAAAAACTCCTCCCGCTTCGCCTCGACGAAGTGCTCAGGGATGTACTCTTCGTGGAAGAGTCGGTCAAATGTGGCCCACTGCACGGGCTCCGGGACGCCTGCTCCCACACGCTTCCACCAGTCGTAGGTGGAATCCTGAAGTAATGCGACTGCGAGGTCGCCACGCTGTTCCTGTGGAACCCTCAGGTTCCCCAACACTCGGATGGTTCGCTCAAACCACCGTTTGGCAATCATGGGGTCGGCGATCTGATCGCCCAAGAATTCCTCAGCTCCATTCTTCCGGAGTTTCTCGATAGTGACTACCGCCACTGGTGGCGGCGGTGGTGGCGGTGGCACGTAAGCTCCAGCCATCTGCTGGAGGAAGTTCATGAAGTTAGCCGCGAACTGCGGCTGGACAATAGGGATGGCTTCTGGTATAGGGCCCACGCCCGGGACCGCCTGCTCGGAGGCCTGCTGAGGTGTGAAGCTCGACGCTTCAGTGTGCACGCTCACGTGCTCAGGCTCCCCCTCTGGGACCGCCTGTCCGTCATTGCCAGCTGCTTGACTCATTTTCTAAAGGAATAACTTAAATCAGAACTAGTTCTAATATGACATACATGTGATCTAAATAACGGTGTACCTTTCCCTGGGAGTGATGCGATGGGAGATGCGGCTGTGGACTTTTGACGACAAGTTGTGTTTTTTTTTTCAAAAAAACCGAACTGGTCTCTGATACCAAATTGTAACACCCGCCATCCGTGGACCCGGTTCACCCGCGACCCAACGGACCGGTAGGGTTACATGGACAGTCCGAGAACCATCCGTTATGAAAACATCAATGATTATTTAATAAGAAAACGGTTGGGTTTTATTTAGAGGAATAAATGCCAGGGAGCTACTCCCAAAACGTGTGTAATGAAAGTGCAGAGTACTTGCGGAAGTAATTAGATAAGTTCAGTCCAAACTAAATAACAACAAGGGTGGGTTCATGCCCAATTGATTAATGAAATCATTGAAAGTAATTAAGAGTTCGTCCGTGCGCCGCCCGTCTCCCCATCGTCACCGCTCTCCAGTGTTGGCACCTGCTCCGTCATGTCTACCTGCGTGTAGCAAAACAACTACACGCTCAGCAAAAGCTGAGGAGTGAATCTTACAAAAGAACATGAAGTGATAACCCATGTGGCTATACCCATATCAATACCTGTACTTAACGTACGGGACACCACACGTTACTAACTGTTTAGTTTTCATCTGTTAAAGCTGTTTCGAAATACAAGGAACATAATGATGATGATATGACTTGGTGCATGACTTAAACTATCAGGGACACCCCTGGCTTAGTCTCACTCGACAGGATCACCCCTGCACTCCGGTCATCGTTCCCGAACGGTAACGAGCCGGGCACGACAAAAACATCACGAGTGGACTAGCGGAACCGGGTAGTAGCCGTAACCTGACTACTATGTACGTACACAAGCCCAACATGATGAAAACCCGCTGGTCCCCAAAGGTTCCTGGACGGGCCCACTGTAGTAGGCGCTTGAAGTCCTCCCTACAGCGGTATGCATAAGATGGAAACCTAGAACATCCGTCTAGAAACGAACATGATGGAATGATTGCATTGATTAAAGAAAAATAGTTAAATTCAATTCCTACACATGTGCTTGATTATGATTTGTTCAACATGATGGCCCTGGGTTCAAAACTAGCTGATAATCGATTATCATGCTGTGCAGCTTCTGTCCCCAAAGTCCTGCAGACTGTGATAGTCGATTGTCACCCTATGACAATCGATTGTCAAGTGAACCAGCTCTGACTCAAGAATCTGCAGGGTCTGATAATCGATTACCACACTATGCTGGATCAACTGAGGAGTTCAGCGTGACCTGATAGCCGATTATTCCGTTCTGTAAATCGATTACCAAGGCACGCTGATTCCCATTTTGACTGTTTGGTTATCATCAATACGTTGGGAGTTTTCTTTGAACGAACATTTATGATTACATATTAAGTATTCCATGAATATACGAAATTTCAAAATGCTTGTATAAACGAGTTCGTAACTTGATAACACGGACTCTCGTATGTTTGATGGTTAACCTACGAACATGCATAGATTCTACGTAGGTTGCGTACGATATTCATATGAATATAACGACATAGATTATAACTAAATGTTCTAGAATTAGAGGGACAACTACTCACCTCTAAACGAAGGGGTTGATGGAACGAGATGAACGACGACAACGCTTCGCACGAATGGCCTAGCTCCTCCCTCCTTTCCTCTCCCTCAACTATGCACCCACCGGAGCTTCGTCGGAACCCTCCCTGGCTGCTGTTGCCTTGGCCGAAAGTAAGAGAGTGAGAGAGAGTGGAGATTGTGAATACTTGGGGGTTACAAAATGGGGTGTGAAGGGAGAGGAAATGATGGGGTTTTAATGGTGGATTAAGGAGACTATTAATTGGAAATGATGGGGGTGTTGAAGGAGCCGAACCAAGGGTCTAGGGAGGTTACAAAACTTATTTACTCCGTATTGTAAAAATCTGACCTGAACGGTACGCGCTTTCCCCCCCGAACGGGTCCGAATTGAAATCCGTTTGCGTTTCTGGAATCAGACAGTCAAGACGAATTTAATGATATGATCAAATAATTTTTCTAAGAACTTTTTCATTTTCCCAACCCCGGTCCGGAACAGTAATTAATTAATTAAATTAATCAATTCTAATAGACCAGGTTGCAGGGCGTTACAGGAGGCCATGAAGCAAGCATTTCTGTTCTCTTCTTGGCTTTGGTCACTATCACTTTCGTCAGAGTTTAAATCGTCCCATGTGACTTTTAATGCCTTCTTCTTCCCCTTTTTAAGCTCTTCCTTCTTTTTGAGCTTTGGACACTCCGGTTTGATATGACCTACATTTCCACATTCATAGCAAGTTATTTGATTAGGTTTACCTTTCTTTGATGGAAATGTTTTTGAAGATTCGCCCTTGTTCCATTTCATAAACTTCTTGTATCTCTTGAACATGGCAAGCTCCTCATCACTTTCTCCTTCGCTTTCCGGATGGTCATCAATATTGAGTGCCATGGTCTTCTTGATGATAAGAACCTGTTCTTCTTCCTTCATTTTCTTCAAAAGAAGCTCGTGAGAGTATAGGCTGCTCCAAATGGTAGAGGTTTCAACATCCGCACATTTGGGCAACAAATTTACAACAAGACTATGCCACTCTCTAGGAAGAGAGAATATAATCTTGGTGTTAATCTCACTAGTAGGATAAACTTTATTTAGCTTACTCAAATTTTTGACAATGAGGTTGAATCGTTTGTTCATACCTTGAACAGATTCTCCGGCCTTCATCTTGAAGTTTTCATACTCGGATGTTCCTAAAGCTATCTTGGTAGCTTTTGTGTCTTTATCTCCTTCGTGGGTGGCTTCTAAGAGCTTCCATGCTTCCTTTGCGGATTTGCAAGAACTCACCCTAGCAAACTCATCTTGACCCAAGGCACAAAACAACACGTTTAGTGCTTTGGCATTCAAGGAGAGTTTTTTCTTGTCTTCGGTGGTGAGTTTGTCCATTGAAGTAGGAACTTGGTGTTCACCTACAGTTGTCATAGGAACAAACGGACCATGAGTAGTGACTATCCATAAATCATAGTCAATAGATTGAATGAAATTCTCCATTCGCATTTTCCAATAGCCATAGTTATCCCCATTGAAGAATGTTGGCTTGGTAATGCATGTGTCGTAAAATGAAATAGAAGATGAGTGTGAAAGGATCAAACTTCCTGCTCCGATACCAATTGAAAGTCGGTTTACACCCTAAGAGGGGGGGGGTGAATTAGGGTGTTTCCAAATTTTTCGTAGAAAACAAAAACTTATGCGCAAAGTAGTAGCGGAAAAAGAGCAAGAAAGATATAAAGGATAAAAATACGACACTGGCGATTTTATACTGGTTCGGGAACTCCCTACTCCAGTACCTCGAGGCTCCTCCTCAAGGATTTAACCTCCACTAACTTGTTTGGCTTCAATAAGAAGACTCAAACGAGGTTTGGCAAACAACCCTTGCCAATAAGCAAATGAGATTTTACTACGGCTATCTCAACCGTTTACAACTGAAGATTTTAAGGCTATCTTCAACCTTACAATGAGGATTTAGAGGCTATCCACACCTTTTACAAATCAATAAAAAGATTGGTGTTGCTTCTCTACCAAAATGATAACAAATGTAAGTTGGGTAGGAGAAGAACAAAAGATTAAATCAACAACAACAAAAGCCTATAGGCAAGATATAAAATAATGAAGCACAAATGCCCTTGTGTGTGAGTGTATAAAAAGATGAAAGCTTTTTACTCAAAAGAGTAAGAAAAATAAGAACAAAGCTTTAAGAACNAAGGCTATCTTCAACCTTACAATGAGGATTTAGAGGCTATCCACACCTTTTACAAATCAATAAAAAGATTGGTGTTGCTTCTCTACCAAAATGATAACAAATGTAAGTTGGGTAGGAGAAGAACAAAAGATTAAATCAACAACAACAAAAGCCTATAGGCAAGATATAAAATAATGAAGCACAAATGCCCTTGTGTGTGAGTGTATAAAAAGATGAAAGCTTTTTACTCAAAAGAGTAAGAAAAATAAGAACAAAGCTTTAAGAACACTCAAGAATAGAGAAAGAGGCTTTAGAATTAATTGGGAAGTTGTTGTTAATAAAATGAGGCTTAAAGGGGGTTTATATAGGAGTTTGGAATGTTAAAATTTGAGTTTTTAACGTTAAATGTCGTTAGGAAGTGATTAGGGGTGATTTGAATTTAAATTGGCAATTTGCTATAGTGCTGCCAACGGATCCAGTACCCTTCATGGTAGGGTCAGTACCGTCCGGTACCTAGGTACCGTGACCCACGGTATAGCCTACCGTTTGGGGGTACCGTGTATGCCTAAAGTTTGGTTCGCCTCTCGCGGTACCTGGTTAGGACGGGGTAACCATCCGTCTCAGCCTTCCGTCCGGTACCTAGGTACCGTTACACAGTAGGGGGTACCGTGTACCTCTTCAGTGAAACGTGCCACGGTACGTTCACTTGGCTACCGGCGGTACCCTGGTGTCGTGTACACGGTAGCCTGGTACCGTTAGGCTAGTGTAAATTTTCCAAAACTCGTTTTTCGTGTTCCGTTTTCAAAATGACTCCATCTAAGAATATATTTGACATTTAAAATTAATTTTTGAGTGAAAGGGCATAAGTAAATCATTAAAATATATTATTACCTTTACACAATAATTTCTAAACTCGTAGGAGTATATCTCGGTGATGCTAAACAAGATAATAGAGGTTTGGCGTTTGGTTTCTTCCTGCAAATGATGTTAGTAACATTTGGAAGACTTATTTGGCACATCAAAACGGTTACGGGGTACGGCATTCAAGGCCAACAATAACATTTGGCAACCAACCGGGCTTTGTTTTTGACAACAACGTCGTTTTCATCCATCTTGTTCCGAAGACCCATTTTGTCCCAATGACATGTTGATGAGTAGGTCTGGGAACAAGTTTCCAGACGTCATTTCTGGTGAATTGGTTGAGTTCCTCTTGCATTGCATTGATCCAATCAGAATCAGCTAGAGCTTCTTCAATGCTCTTTGGTTCTACTTGCGAGATAAAACATGCAAGCATGGCTTCTAGATTCTGTTGAGCGCTTCTTGTGTGAACGCCTGACTGAATATCTCCAATGATTTGTTGAGAAGGATGATCCCTTAACCAACAAAGATTGTGTTGATTAGGGTTGACTGGCTGATCTAGTTTAGCTTCTGGTTGAAGAACAGAATTTGTTGGTGTTTCTGGATGGATTGGCACTTGATCGCCACTTCCAGAATTGTCGCCATGTGAGTGATCCGGGATATTGGAAGGCTGGCCATGATTTCTGGTAGGCTCAGCACTATCTGAATTCGAATTTCTTTGTGAAGTCTTTAATGGTAGACTTCCGAATGGAATGAACTCCGTAGGTTTCATTCTATCTTCTTCGTTGACTTCTTCATCCTTGTCTAAGAGATCCAGAACCTCATGATCAAGCTTTGATGGCTTTTCAACCACATGTTTTTCATCAAAAATAACATGTATTGACTCTTTAGTGATCATGGTTCTTTTGTTGAAGACTCTGAACGCCTTGCTAACCAGAGAGTATCCAAGGAAGATGGCTTCATCTGATTTCTCATCAAAAGTGTTCAGAAGATTCTTCCTGTTGTTTAACACAAAACACTTGCTCCCAAAAATATGGAAATATGATATATTAGGCTTCCTTCCATTCCACAGTTCATAGGGAGTTTTGTTGTGCCTTTTATAAATCATACTCTTGTTTTGAGTATAAAAAGCTGTGTTTACAGCTTCAGCCTAGAACCTCTTTGGCAAGAAAGCTTCTGCTAGCATGGTTCTCACTGCTTCCTTCAAGGTTCTGTTCCTTCTTTCAGCTACACCATTCTGCTGTGGTGTCCTTGCTACGGATGTCTGATGAAGAATTCCGTTTTCTTCACAGTAGTGAATGATGATTTCATTCAGGAATTCTGTGCCTTTGTCAGATCTGATCTTTTGGATAGTCTGACTTGCTTGGTTTTGAATCGGCTTCATGCAGTTTGTGAGCTTCCCTTGACTCCCTGCATGTTGCTTGTGATCTTAGTGCTTACCCTTCCTATCCTTGTTGAGGATTGGTTGGGAGTTTACCTTGGTGGGATGCTGGACAGAGGGTTAACACTGGGGACCCTTGGGTAACTGGTGTTATCCCTATGCCCAGTTTCTCTGGGGCTGGAAACATTTCATATGTTAGAAACCCTCTTTGGAGGGTCTCTAACTATTGTTATCGGTCCTTGGGGGTGGTTTGTTGGGAAACAAACCAGGCTATGCTATCCCCTTCTGGAATTGTAGAGACTGGCTTGGGTCCAGGGTTTCTCTCTCTCCTGTTTCCCCCCTCCCCTTCTTTTCTTTTCCATCACCTTCCTTCTCCTCCCACTTTTCTAGGAGGCAAGTTAAATAATATGTGCCAAATCACTCCTTGGATTTGATACCTGTTAGTTTACCTTGGCTCCTCCTTGGGTGGTTGGGCTCCTGATAGCTTGGGTGCTATTGGGGTGTGGAAACAAACCATACCCTATCTACCCCTTCTGGATAGGTAGGGAATGGCTTGGATCCAGGGCTGGAGGGTGTTTTCACCCTCTTTTCTTTCTTTTTCCCCCCCTCTCCCCTTCTTCCTTCTTCTTGCTTCTCCCTCCTTTCTTGGTCTTCCTCCTCTTTTCTCCCTTCTTCTGTTTCTGGAAACACACTAAGTTTCACTCATCCAAACCCTCTTTGTTTTGATGTTTGAAGGTTGGTGTGTCTTCCCTCTGGTGCTGGGTGGGTTGGGGCCCCATTGGTTTTGTGGACTGGTGGGGTTGTGAGGAAACAAACCAACCTCTATTTACCCCTTCTGGGTAGTTAGAGGTTGAGTTGGGTCCTGGTTTGTTGGTGTTCCACACCTCTCCTTTTCCTTGTCCACCCATTTTCCCCTTCTCCATTCTTTTGCTTCTTCCTCCTCCTTTGCCTCTCTCTCTTTCCTTACCCTCCTTCTTCTGTCTCAGGGAACACATCTGGATGCACTCACTTATACCCCTCTTTGGTTGAGTGACTGCAAACTGGTGTGCCTCCCCCTACCTTTATGGTTTCATTTATGTTATTTGTGTGGGTGACTTGGATAACATATTTCTGGCTTTGCTTTGTGATCCCTCTCATCAGAGATGAGCACCATCACCTTATGCCTGAGTAACTCCACCCTAGCTCATTTGTGTGAGACAGGTTTTGACTTGGTCCTATTCGGTGCAAATGGTCCTTTGGTGCTTCTAAACCTCTGATGGATTTGGTCCTGCTGTTATTGTGTCTTGAGACATTAACCAGAGTTGGAGGGCCTGCGTGGAGTTCAACCTGCTTCACCTGTTCAATGGTCCTTCATCTCTGTCTACTACCTTGCTAGCTGTACATGGATTTCTGGTGCTGTGATGCTGTGTGCGTGATGCTGTGTGCTTTGAGTATATATGTGATGCTGTACATGATTATATGTCTGCAATGTGATTAGGGCCTGATGCTTCTTGTCTACTCTTGCTGGAAGCTTTTGGAAAATGAACTCGGCCTGGTTTTGCAAGTGGAATGGAATGGTCTTTTCCTAGTCAGGGCACCTTTTCCAGATTGTTGCCGGTGTACACCTGTTTCAAATTGTGTTTGATGTAATGGAGATGTTTGTCTCGTGTTAAGACAACCTCCTAATCTTGGTCTTGGTTGGATTGTACTTGTATTTGTTAGTGTTTTGTATTTGTATGTGTTACACTTGAGTTGTAATTTCTTTTATGTATACCTGTAACTTAAGCAAGTAACCACCTTGTGGTTAAGCTGTTGACATCTTGTATTCGTTTGATTTGGGTAATAATAATTTACATGTTACCCGTTGAGTTTCCTTCTTGCTGTTGAGGAAGATTGTCCACGTGTATCTTGAGTAGTCATCAACTACTACTAAGACATATTTCTTTCCACTTAGACTTATTGGTGTAACAAGTCCAAATAAGTCCATGTGAATGAGACTCAGTATCCTGGTACTTGAGTGTGCCGGTTTTGCCTTGAAAGTAGACTTGACTTGCTTTCCTTTCTGACAAGCATCACAGATGCTTTCCATCTTGTACACATCTTTGGGAAGACCTTCTACTAACCCTTCTTTGGATAGCTTGTTGAGAGTTTTGAAGTTGAGATGACTCAACCTCTTATGCCAAAGCCATAGAAGGTTAGTGTCACCTTTTCTGATTAGGCATGCTTCCTTGACATCGTCCCACATTACTTCGTAGATGTTTCTGATTCTCTTTCCAATGAGAATGACTTCATTTGTGGTGATGTTCTTGAGGGATGCCATGTCCT